TAGTCCCTCTCCAAACAGGACCCAAATGATAGACCACAATTTGCCCTTTCCAAAATGGTGCGATATGTGGCTGTATCTGTTGTGGATCAAAAGATATGGGCCTTAGAACCCTATAAAACAAGGAAAATCTTTCTACATGACAGAATCTTCTTTTAAATAGCATGGTGTTTTTTGGGTGACCGGCCTTCGGCCGGGGATTTAAGACTTTCTCCTATGGACAGACGCAACACCGGCTAACGCGGCAGAAACTCCTTCTAAATAGAATATTTTTTTGTGTAGCCGGCCTTCGGCCGGGTATTTAAGACTTTCTCCTATGGACAGATACCAACACCGGCTACGCGACAGAATCTCTTGTTAAATGGAATACTTTTTTGGGTGACCGGCCTTCGGCCGGGGATTTAAGACTTTCTCCTATGGACAGATGCCAACACCGGCTAACGCGGCAGAAAATCCTTCTAAATAGAATATTTTTTTGTGTAGCCGGCCTTCGGCCGGGGATTTAAGACTTTCTCCTATGGACAGCTACCAACACCGGCTACGCGACAGAATCTCTTGTTAAATGGAATATTTTTTTGGATGACCGGCCTTCGGCCGGGGATTTAAGACTTTCTCCTACGGACGGATGCCAACACCGGCTAACGCGGCAGAAAATCCTTCTAAATAGAATATTTTTTGTGTAGCCGGCCTTCGGCCGGGGATTTAAGACTTTCTCCTATGGACAGATACCAACACCGGCTACGCGACAGAATTTTCTTGTTTTTGTAGGGTTCTAAGGCCCATTTCTTTTGATCCACAACAGATACAGCCACATATCGCACCATTTTGGAAAGGGCAAATTGTGGTCTATTATTTGAGTTTGGGTTAGAGAGGTACTATAATGGGCCCAAGTTCGACTTTTAGGGAGTTTTTCAAAAAAATCGTGGACCAAAACCCAGTTTTTTGACTATATCTCCATTAATAGTAAAGGTATGAGGACACTGCTGCCAGTCAGAATTCAGGACCTCGATCTAATATCCGGGCTACAGTCAATTTGATTCCTGTTAGGTCTTCTACGGGTTTACTTACAATTTCAATGGATCCAACAACAGAAGGCTGCGCGGCTGAGGGTGGTATGTTGAGGAAACGAAATGTGGGCTAACGGTAGTTGAATTACTAACGGCAGTTGATGTGGGTTGAATTTCAGGCTATTGATGATGATGTATGAATTTGTCTATGTAATGCTGTGTATGTACTGGGCTATGGGATAACTGAGGTACAGCTGGTTTATTGGGTGGCGGTGCACAATTTCTTTGATGAAAGGTTGATGTGTGAACTGTTTTGCGGAAGGTTTAGGTCTGAACCGGGATTATTATATTTTGATTGCACTAGCTTGTCTATGGGATGTTGGTGTGTACTGGTTTATGAGATTGTTCGGTATGAATTGGGTTATTTGATTTTGATGGCACTGGGTTTTTTTGTAAAAAGTTGGTGGGCTGATGAATTTTGAGTTGGTTAAGTCTGAACTGGGTTAATGAATTTTGGCGGCACTATTTTTGTCTATTGAATGTTTGTGGGTTTACTGATACCCGAACAAAACTTGTTGTATAGTAAAAAAACTCACTGTACCGTTACCCAACTGCGCGTGCACCATCACGTGTAATTCACTGGTACAGTCCCAGCGCCTCGGTGGCGGCTTTTCACTGTTGTTGGGTTTGCACAAATTAACCCAACCAGTTAAAAAAAATATTGAACAATTTCAATATTAATTCACGAAAACACACACTTTTTATTTTTAGAGTGCATCCATTTGAATGTATATTCTTCACTCTTTATTAGTGTTTTTTTGGAACAACTCTAGTTTAGTAAAAACGATCAAATTTTTCTGAAATTTTTTCCAGAGGTAGGTATTTTTACCCTAATTATGGGGATATCTTTTTTTCTTGGGGGACGTACCCGGTTACCCGGTTATTTGACCCGGAAGTTCGGGTACGGGTACCCGGTTATATCCGGTTCTACGGATCCGGTTAATATAATATGGGTATCATTTTAAAGGTTATAAAAATACCTTTCCATTGAGTGGTAATATGATGGGGTTATCTCAAACCATTTTGGGGATATAGTCAAAAAACTGGGTTTTGGTCCCCGATTTTTTTGAAAGACTCCCTAAAAGTCGAACTTGGGTCCATTATAGTCCCTCTCCAAACAGGACCCAAATGATAGACCACAATTTGCCCTTTCCAAAATGGTGCGATATGTGGCTGTATCTGTTGTGGATCAAAAGATATGGGCCTTAGAACCCTATAAAACAAGGAAAATCTTTCTACATGACAGAATCTTCTTTTAAATAGCATGGTGTTTTTTGGGTGACCGGCCTTCGGCCGGGGATTTAAGACTTTCTCCTATGGACAGACGCAACACCGGCTAACGCGGCAGAAACTCCTTCTAAATAGAATATTTTTTTGTGTAGCCGGCCTTCGGCCGGGTATTTAAGACTTTCTCCTATGGACAGATACCAACACCGGCTACGCGACAGAATCTCTTGTTAAATGGAATACTTTTTTGGGTGACCGGCCTTCGGCCGGGGATTTAAGACTTTCTCCTATGGACAGATGCCAACACCGGCTAACGCGGCAGAAAATCCTTCTAAATAGAATATTTTTTTGTGTAGCCGGCCTTCGGCCGGGGATTTAAGACTTTCTCCTATGGACAGCTACCAACACCGGCTACGCGACAGAATCTCTTGTTAAATGGAATATTTTTTTGGATGACCGGCCTTCGGCCGGGGATTTAAGACTTTCTCCTACGGACGGATGCCAACACCGGCTAACGCGGCAGAAAATCCTTCTAAATAGAATATTTTTTGTGTAGCCGGCCTTCGGCCGGGGATTTAAGACTTTCTCCTATGGACAGATACCAACACCGGCTACGCGACAGAATTTTCTTGTTTTTGTAGGGTTCTAAGGCCCATTTCTTTTGATCCACAACAGATACAGCCACATATCGCACCATTTTGGAAAGGGCAAATTGTGGTCTATTATTTGAGTTTGGGTTAGAGAGGTACTATAATGGGCCCAAGTTCGACTTTTAGGGAGTTTTTCAAAAAAATCGTGGACCAAAACCCAGTTTTTTGACTATATCTCCAAAATGGTTTGAGATAACCCCATCATATTACCACTCAATGGAAAGGTATTTTTATAACCTTTAAAATGATACCCATATTATATTAACCGGATCCGTAGAACCGGATATAACCGGGTACCCGTACCCGAACTTCCGGGTCAAATAACCGGGTAACCGGGTACGTCCCCCAAGAAAAAAAGATATCCCCATAATTAGGGTAAAAATACCTACCTCTGAAAAAATTTTCAGAAAAATCTGATCGTTTTTACTAAACTAGAGTTAAGCCGTTTTTTTTTTTTTATTATTTTCACACAACACTCTAACACCGGTAAAATTCCTTTATTTTTCTTTCTGTTTCTCCTTTTCTTTTCGTTTACGTATTCGGTCTTATCTCGCCGGCCGCTACTCTCGAGAATGAAGCGATAGTAATTTCCAGGCCGGTTAGGGATCGCTAATTTGCAAAAATGCATCAACCAATCAAATCCTGACACGTCAGCAGCACATATGATCACCGTGCAGTGTTGCACATGCAATGGTGATTCGTGTAATATGACGTAGGCAACAGGGTGACATAACAGGGCCTTTGATAAAACCGAATTTGTCTAACTATTCCCGTTTTTTGATTGACGAACTGTGGAGAATATTTTAAAATGAACTAAAGGGAGTCTTAACAGACAGCCTGTAGACAGGGAATCAAGCTGAAGGGAGTATTTTGAGACGAGCTAAAAGGAGTCTTTATATACGAGTAGAAGATAGTATTTATAGACGAACTGAAAGAAGTCTTTATATACGAGCTTTGAAGTCTTTATAGATCTGCTAAATGGAGACTTTAGGAAAAAGATGAATGAATTAAAAAATGCAGGTAGTCGTCATAATAATTGAGCTTAGTTGAATGAAAATAGTCTTTATAGACGAACTGAAGGTAGTCTTTACAAATTAACTGAATGAGTGAAAGGAGTTGAAGGAAAAATTTTAGAGACGAGCTGAATATAGTGAGCGGTTGTATACGAACAGAACGAAGTATTTATATTAACGACCTGAACGAAGAATTTATATACGAACTGAAGGGAAGTTTCATACACGAACTAAAGGAAATCTTCAAAGACAAACTAAAGGAAGTTTTTATAGACCAACTGTAGTGAGCTTTTACAGACGAAAATGCTTTATAAATCAGATTAAATGACTGCTTGGAGATGGTTTTTTATAATAACTGAAAAGTCTATAGATAATAAAAGGTACCCTCGGGGGGATAACAAAATTTGCCAATTCTTTTAATTTACCAATATCCCTCTTATCGCGAAAACCCTACTATATATGATTTAATTTAATTTGTTTTGTCATTTTTAGTGGAACATCGTTCGGCGCAATTCAAGAAAATCAATCGTTTCCAAAAGGTACCCTGCATTGTGGATGCTGATTTTCATTTGAGTGAATCTATAGCCATTTTAAGGTTAGTTCTTTACCTCATTCCCCAAAATAAAAATTAGTTCATCTACTTTTTTAATTTTCCCTAATTTCAGATATCTATCCGACAAAGGCCACATTGATGATCAGTTGTATTGCAAAGATTTGCAAAAACGTGCACAAATTGATGAATTCTTAGAATGGCAACACCTGAGTGTACGTCTCCCTTGTGCAACATATTTTCTACAGGTTGGCCTGTATCCTCTGATGGGTTTGGCTGAAGTTCCGACAGTTGAAAAAATTACCGCTCTCCAAAAAGATATGGAAACCAATTTAAAATTAGTGGAAAATATTTGGTTAAAGGATAAGGATTTTCTAACGGGTAATAAAATGACGGCAGCTGATCTGTTTGGAGCATGTGAAATTGAGCAGACAAGTAAGTTTAAATGTACATTATAGATTCTGGATTTCTAATTACAGGTGGAATTGTTTTACAGAAATCTGCAAATATAATGTTTCGGAAAAGTTCCCAAAAATTTCCGAATGGTTGTCCAAAGTCCGTCAAGAATCGAATCCATTTTATGACAACGCACATAAATATGTGAATAAACTTGCTGGTGTATAAGTTGTTGATGATGAAAGAATATAACGAGGAACGAGAGAAAAATAAGACCACTGATTTTGGAGTATGGACTTATGTGCCTTTGTATTGCCCTAAGCAAATATTAACTAAACAATAACTACATATAACCTTTTGATTGCATTTTAAAGTCATACAAATATACGTAAATATAAAATATTCGAATTTTCCCATATTTATTTTTTATAAACTACAGATTCTATAACAATATATTTCTATATAAAGTAGCAGTCGAATTTTTAGTTTAAGTTTAGCTGAAGGGAGTCTTTATGGACGAGCTGAAGGGACTCTGTATAGACGAGTTGAGGCGAGTCTATATGGACGAGCTAAAGGGAGTCTTTTTGAACGAGATGAAGGTAAAGAAGTCATTACAAACGTGCTGAAGGTAGTCTTTATAGACGAGTTGAAGGGAGTCGTTCTAGAAGAGCTGAAGGGAGTCTTTATAGACGAGCTGAATGGAGTCTTTATAGACGAGCTGAAGGGAGTCTTTATAGACGAGCTGAAGGGAGTCTTTATAGACGAGCTGAAGGGCGTCCTTATAGACGAGCTTCTTTATAGACGAGCTGAAGGGAGTCTTTATAGACGAGCTGAAGGGAGTCTTTATAGACGAGCTGAAGGGAGTCTTTATAGACGAGCTGAAGGGAGTCTTTATAGACGAGCTGAAGGGAGTCTTTATAGACGAGCTGAAGGGAGTCTTTATAGACGAGCTGAAGGGAGTCTTTATAGACGAGCTGAAGGGAGTCTTTATAGACGAGCTGAAGGGAGTCTTTTTAGACGAGATGAAGGGAGTCTTTATAGACGAGCTGTAGGGAGTCTTTATAGACGAGCTGAAGGGAGTCTTTATAGACGAGCTGTAGGGAGTCTTTATAGACGAGCTGTAGGGAGTCTTTATAGACGAGCTGTAGGGAGTCTTTATAGACGAGCTGAAGGGAGTCTTTATAGACGAGCTGAAGGGAGTCTTTATAGACGAGCTGAAGGGAGTCTTTATAGACGAGCTGAAGGGAGTCTTTATAGACGAGCTGAAGGGAGTCTTTATAGACGAGCTGAAGGGAGTCTTTATAGACAAGACAACTTTAATGGAGCCTTTATGGACTAGCTGAAGAAAGGCTTTATAGACGAGTCTTTATTTACGAGCTAAAAATAATTTATTTGACAGACTGAGTGTAGACGTGATGAAGAGAGGCTATATATACCAGCGGAGGGGATCCTTTATAGTCAAGCTGAATCGAGTTTTTATAGACGAATTTAATGGAGTATTTATGGACCAGCTGAAGGAAAGCTTAATAGACGCATCTTTATATACGAGCTAAAAAGAATATTTTAGGCAGACTGAGTTGAGTTTTTGTAGATACGCTTTTGAAAGACCTTATAAAGGAGTTGTTTCGAGCACGATGCAATGTTTATAGACGAGCTGAAGGGAGTCTCTTTAGAAGAATTGAAAGTAGTCTCTTTTGATCGGCTGAAGGGACTTTTTATAGAAGATGGGAAGAGGGTTCTTATAGATGAGCTAAAGGCAGTTTTTATAGAAAGGCTAAAATGAGTCTGATGGCAGGGAATCTTTATAGACGATCTAAAAGCAGGGAAATCTTTATAAACAAGCCCGAATGCAGAAACAAGGTCTAACTGATAAATAAAAATACGCTTTGTATGGAAACTGAAGCAAGGAAACCAAATTACATTAGAACATATAAATAGATACTTATTTAATGATAATACATATATTTTTATATTTCTAAGTTTTTTTTATTAAAATTATTAAAAACGTGCAAAGTATGTCTTGAAAATAATAAAACTACTAAAATCTAAAGCATCTGAAAAAGCATTGTACATTGTACTTTATGTTACTGCCCACCAAAAAATTCCCCAAAAATAAAAAAATCATTCACTTAATCTATATCTAATTTTCTAAATGAACCCTCAATACCAAACAAGGATTCCGAATTCAATGGTCGGCCTTTTCGTAGCTTTTCATTTGTACAATATTGAGCTTCTTCTTCAAAATATGATTTATATTCCAATAATTTCTTTTCCCAGGTATTGATGACATCGGCTATGGTACCATTACTGCCACCATATTCTTCGGGCAGGCATTCTTGGGGGATATAGTCATACAATGATTCGTATTTACTATGAATGTGGAACTATAAGGAAAAATAAAAATTAGATAAATAAAGTCGAATTAAATGCTTAGATCCACAACTCACCCTCTGTTTAATTTTCTCACTCATCAGCCCCTTGGCAATGGACAATAGTTTCTCGGTGCCCGATGGTGCATTGACAAAATGAAAACCTTGTGGCCTATAGGGCCATGCCTTATCACCCAAAACCGCTAATTTCTTAATGAGTACAGCATCGAATTGGAAAATGTGTCCCGCTCCGACACCTTTGAGATCAATAATTTCCACAAAACCCATTACCATGGCATGATCATCTTCACGAAATTGTATTTCGCCAAGCATGGTGCCAACTTTAACCACCTCCGACAGGCCATATTTATTTGTATCGTACAGGCCATAACGGGAAATGTGTATGCGGGGTCCAGCTTCGCTTAAGGGTTTGGGTAGGCGTAGTAAACATCTGAAAAATTAGGAAAATAATTATTAAAAATTTAGAGACCTAGTTTTGGTTTACTTACCCCTGTCTTAATATATCTATTGCCTTATCGTCAACAAAACGATTCTTATAGATTTCAGGTACAACATTACGCATCGCATAGAAGTTATCGATTTTCTGTTTCGCCTTTTCCAAACTATATTTACAGCCACGTAAAAATGCTACCAGCATTTGATCATCTGTGCGGGCTTTTAGGTGGGGTTGTTTTGAGATCCAATCACGCAGCACAGCAATATCTTCATCAATGCGTTCGGGTACTTCACCTAATTGTTTTTGGGCATTTTCAGCCAGCTTTGGTGATAAAGGGCGGATTTTTGACATGATTTAAGGCTTTTGGCTGGAAAAGAAAAATCAAAGTGGGGGAAAAAAGGTTAAATGTGATTGATCGAAATTTTTCTAAGGGGGATTAAGGGCATGGGGTTGCCCTCCCCGCGTAAACCAATGTATATCAATTATTTGAATATAAAAAATCCATTATTTTTTGATGGTTACTGTCCCTAGTTATCATTATTATCTTATCATTATCCATTTTTTGTGTGGCCAGCGTCACATAGCAATATATTTATAGTTGTTGTGCCATGACTTCTTTCTTTTTGTTGTTGTAAATACGTATTTTTTTTATTTAGATCATATTTTCTATGTCTATATAGACCATGGAGACCCCATTCTTTTAACATACATAGTTGTGTGTGTGATTATCGTTTTTTTTTGTATTTACTTTTGAAGCCATCATTTTGTATATTTGTTTTTGTTGGTGACTTAATTTTATGAACACAAAGAACCTATCTTTGTCATTGACAACAAGCTAGGCACCTAAGTGGTTCTTTCGTTGGTTGCATTGACATTTTGAATTGATTAGTCCAGAAGTTATCAGTTCTTTTATTGTGGGAAAAGTAGAACAAATGCCCTGTGGGTTTTTTTGGTTATCTGAAGGTGTTAAGGTGAAACACAGTTGGGTAATAAGGCTTTACGCAGGGGTAGAAGAGCTAAAGGAAGTTTTTTTGATAAGCTCAATGATGTCTTTATAAACGAGCCGAAGTTAATCTTTATATACGAGATGAAAAATGTCTTTATAGACCAGCTTGAAGGGTATCTTTATAGACGAGTTGAAGGAATTATTTATAGACAGTCTGAAGATAATCTTTAGAGACGATACACAGTGGGTTGATCGGTAGGCAAAATGGCGATTAATTCAGGAAAGCAGTAATTTTAAAATATTATTATTTTTTATTGATAGACATTATTAAATACATAAAAAATCATAATTAGAAAAAAAATAAAAAAATAAAAAAAATGGTTTCAATATTTTATGGCCTTTTTTGTATTTTGAAAAAAGTGGTCTTATATCACAATTTTCGCTATAACTATTCAAAGAAAAATGATAAATTAGAAAATATTATTATATCTTATTGATCTATATTCATAAACAAAAACCTTAGTATAAAAATAAAACAAACAACCATTACAGGAAAAATAACTAAAAAATATATTTGTACGGTTTTTTATTTACTTCATTTCATTAATTTTAACAGTATTATTAATTTCATAATCATCATTTACTTCACAAAAATTATAAAATTAATTTACTTAACAATAATAATTTACTTCTTCATCATACAATTCGTTAAAATAATATTCATCATCTTCGTCACCATTATCATTTTCCTTTTGGGTAAGGATAAGTAAGTCCAAAGCAGTCTGAGGCATTTGCAGTATTTTCTTTTTACAACTCTTCCTCTTGCTCGAAATAAATGGATCTGAACTTAAAAGAAATCTATTAAAGACGTCTTCTATTGTATTTTCCCCGACTGAATTTACTGGAAAAGTGTTCCCAAAGTGTTTTGAAGTCATTATTTCTGGTTTCCTGAGATTCTTCATTTAGCTGGGTTATTTTACAAATTCTTTAATAATTCAAAAAATGCACCAAAGCGGCAAAAAGTTTTTCTAGAATATAAGCTTAAACTTCATATTTTAAGAAAATATAAGCAGTTTTACTATGTTTCACTGATAATTCAGTTGAAATCCAATACAAACATCAAAAATATCTCAATTTTGGAGCATTTTCCTTATTATTTTTTTTATATTTCCAAAACATTTATCTAAACAAACAAATATTTTTCATATGCTCAAACACCTGAAGTAGACGGCTCCATAATTAAAATTTCACTTTTAGAAGTCTTTATTAAAATAATTATTACTGGAAATATGCAAATTTTCATTTTTAACCAATGCGCGCAAAAATAACAATAATTACTGAACTTTGAAGACACACTACAAATAAAGTAAACAACTAAGAACTTTTATTTTGGCAATTAGTGATGTAGAATTTTATCTTCTTTCATTCGGTACCAAAAACGGCTATTAAAGTTAAAGTTCATTTTTTGAATTAATCGCCACTTTGCCTACCGCTCAACCCAGCGTGCGACGTGAAGGGAGTCTATATAGACGAGCTGAAGGGAGTCTTTTAATAGAAAACCTCTGTCAAAAATATTGATTTTGGTGAACTTGCAGATAGAAAACGTATCTTCTATTGTACATGACCTTTGTTAATAGAAAAATTTTGAGGTTTAACAAAATGTATTTGTGGTTTGTTAATAATAACTAGTAAGTCCGTACTGAATAGTTCTTCTGTAGATATAAGACCTTCTATTGTGTCAGAATATTTTCTTCTGTTATTTTACACATATTTCGTTAATAGAAGTTTGTCGGACCCACTGCTAATTGCAAAACTTTGATCTTCTACTCAGATATCCAGATGGTCTCCCTCGATGACCTTATTTATTTGCTTTGAACGTAAACAAAGACCAAATTATTGACATTAGACTTGAGAGAAAACAGCTGATTTTCGCTCTGTGATTGACCATATTAATAGATCTTGCATCTGATATTTCTGGGTCTTCTGAGTGGTATATATTGTTTTCTTTTCCCTGATGCAGCAAGAAAGTGATGTATCAAAACAAAAACATTTGTTTTTGTCTTGGCCATCTGTCAAATTTGTGCTTATAATGTTTCATATGGTTGGCAACATTGTACATCGAATTCAAGTAAAAATTACACATTTTGACAGTTAATCGAGTCATCAGCTGCGCCAAATGGACTACCTATTTATTGTGTCATGGTAGAAACCAAGATCTATTAATAAGGTCACCCAGCTATCGAAATTCAGCTGTTTTTCGCAAGTCTAATGTCTAAATTTTGGGCTTTGTTTACGATTTCATAATGAAAAGCAATGCACAATAATGAATCTGGATAGCAAACTTGAGACGCAGCTGTTATCCAGTTCATGGCACAATGAATAGGTAGTCCATTTAGCGCAGCTGATGTCTTGATTAACTGTCAAAGTGGGTAATTTTTACTTGAATTCGATGTGCAGCTGTATTATATGGACAAATTTGTCAGATAATCGAGACAGAAACAAAGGTTTTTCTTTTGATACATCACCTTATTATTGCATCATGATCCAGCTGTTCTCCATGGATGACTTTATTAATAGACCTTGGTAGAAACCATGACGCAATAATAAGGTGATGTATCAAAACAAAAATCGTTGTTTTTGTCTCGATCATTTGTCAATTTTTTTCTTATAATATTTCAAATGGTTGGCAACATTGCACATCGAATTCAAGTAGATATTACGCACTTTGATAGTTAATCAAGACATCAGCTGCTCTAAATGGACTACCTATTTATGGTACCATGGTAGAAACTATTCACTTTGACAGTTAATCTGATAGTCAGCTGACCTAAATGGAGTACCTATTTATTGTGTCATGCCTTACTGCAATAGTTTTTAATATTTTTTCGATATCATAAAGGAAAATTGGTTTTTGGTCAGTTCCCTTACTGCAATGATCTACTAGATTTTACAATTTTCTTCGATATCATAAAGGAAAATTCGTAGTAAAAAGTAGTAGATTCTTGCAATACAGGAACAGACCATTTATTAGTAAAAAGGGGGTATAATCGGTTTACATCTTTAACGTCACACTTGTGAATGTAAATCGTATTTTTCTTTTATAAAAAATTAAATATTGAAAAAAAATATTCAAATTGCGTTCTTCAGAAATAAATTAATTAATTAACTTCTTGTTTCTTTGAGTGTATTTTGATGATGAAGTTCCACCTTCTTCCGCCTTCTATCTATATTTTTATATAGTTTGTCTGCGTACTTTTCCAGTAATAAGTATCCTATATGCACAATTATAATAATTATTTTAAATTATATGTCTCGTCGACATTCATTACTGAGGGGTTTTACCGTGCGACAAAACGTGACGGCCTTGAGAATTCCCAAATAGTTGTAATTTCCGGTAAATTTGCTCAACGGAAATGAATACCTTTTCCGAACCAGAGGAGCTAATTATTTCATATGGACTAAATATTTGTCCAATATAATATATATAATATGACTTTTAGCTGTTTTATTGTATTTCAAATTTTATAGTACGTTTGAGTTTAACCGGATTTCGTTTGGGTTTCAATTGTCTATTCCTTTGTATATATGTCAAAAAAATCCTCATAAAGTAGGTTAACCCGGTAAAAAGTTCTAATGTATATGTCGTTTTATAGATTTAAAAAATATTGGTCTGACCCACTATTCAAAATATATTTTAAATTTATAAAAAAATTTAGATTAATGGAATTTTTTTTTTCAAGTTCTGTGCCAGATCGATTATTTCCTCATGACTTTAATATTTTAAACTTGAAACTGTTACAATTTTTGTTTTATTTTTATTCACACATATCACGTTTCACTGTATTTCTTTGCCAACATCTACATATATGACGTCTGGTTCATCAATCTACTCTAATTAAGGTGAGAATTCTAACATTTTTTAATTTAAGGTCAAACCGAGGCAAGGTCTTGGAAATTTCAGTGTCGTCATAAAACCGACACATTCCAAAATTTATTTCAAAACATTAAAATTGTTTTATTTGGAATTCAAAACAAATAAAACTTTGCACTTAATGACACATACTTTGTTTTTTTTTGCACTTTGTTATAATGTTCACTTATTAAATATTTTTTCTTAATTTAATTTATGATTAATTTTTATTTTCCGCTGCTTGCTCGTTTGTCACTTAATAAATATTTGACACGCGTTGTCTTCAAATAAAATATGAAAATTTCCCCAAAAAAAATCTAACGCGTTCTAAGTTACGTTTTTTTTTCAGCAAACACACTTTACCTTTCGTTGCAGATATTCAACTGACGATCGTTTAGTTTATGCCAGACCTCTAAGAATGTATTCCTTCAATATTGTAGCTGTGTATGTGTATATGAGAGTGCTTAGTTTTCGGGGGGAGGGCAGTAAATGTCTCTGACATTAG